TGTTGGCGTTAAAATAATAATCGCTCAAGTTCACTGTCTTTTGAAATCACTAACAATTTTATTAAGACTTTTACATTTGTATTTTATATATTAAAAGTTTTCAAGTATAAAGTTGTAAAAAATACTTTTTTAGAAGTACTTCCATATATTTTTAATTATTTGTATCAATTAAAATTAAACAGTCTTACTTATATTGAATATATTACTGAAATTTGTAAATTTTTAATGCAATTAATGTAATTATTTGATATAATTAATTGATTTATTATTAAAAGTTATAAATAATTGAGATATTATATAATTATTTTTGAGGATTTTGAAAATTGAATCAATAACAGATAATTTATGCCATATATATAGTATGACTAATTATAAGTAATAAAAGTAAACAATTATAATATATTTGAATTTTTGTTTATTAGGATAACCTTTTTAATAATAATTAAAATAGATAATATTTTTTTTCAATTTTTTCAATTTCTTCTTTTGTATACATTGGTGTTATTTCTCTTTATCTATTTTTTTTTATTTTTTTTCTTAAGTAATTTTTATATAAAAGTAATAATACAATTGAGTTTATGATTATAATTATAAAGATGATTTGCAGACTTTAATACTATTGGAAATCTTAAATATATATTTTTTCTATAAGAAAAACAATATTATTACTTTTATAAATTGCATCTTGAGGCTTTAACTGTTGACAAGTGAGCTGAGTTAAAAAAAATTTATATTAACATATATTCTTATACTTGTAATAATTTTTTATAATTAAATAAATAAATGACTTCAGTCTAATTTCAAGTCAAAAAAATATTGATCTGAAATAATATTATTTTATAATATTTTTAAATGCATAAATCTATTTAAATTTCCTTTAATAAAAAATAGTCCAATAATAAATTTATCGATAATTTCTGTATAGATATTAATTTTTAATAAATATAATATATTGCTAGTTCTTAGACATATTTATTTTTGATAAGGATAATTATATGTATTAATCTCATAATTTAACCAAAAAACTATTTTATTAGTAAAAGCAAATATTAGATAAAGTTCTATTGTTAGAATAAGTAAAATAAATTTATTACAAAATTTAAGACATGAATTAAATTATCATTATTAAATTTTTAATGAATTTAAAATTTATAAGAATAAAATTTGGGAATTTTTAAATTTTTTCTAATATTAAAAAATAAAAATGTTTTTTTTTTTAATATTATAAATTGATTATATATGGTTTTCTTGAAAAAGAATGACAGTAGTTTTATTTTTTATACCAATAAAATTTTTAATTAAAAAAAATAATAATTGATTATATAAAAGAATTTTACTTCTTACAAATTATTTTAACAAAATTTTTTTTAACTTGAAAACTTATTATAATAAATAGTTAATTTTAGAGGAATCATAATCATCAATTATTAATCGATCTATAGATACTATGTTTTATTTATTGTATTTTACTTTCAACTATTGATTGCAAATGTGAGTTTTATATGCAAAGTCAAATAATAACCAAATTAACAATTCTATTAATAACAACATTTTAGATACTGTACCTTTATGGGAATTTTATTAAAAAGGTTATAATTAGAAATTTTTGACTTCTAATCTGCATTCTAAGTTCGGATAAGTCAAGAAAGAAGATAAATTTTGGCTTAAAATAATACAGTACATAGTTTAATAAATTATATATACTTTATTTATTAATAGAAATAATTTTTACTAATGATAGTACGATATTTAGTTTATCTTTATTTTCGATATTTATTTAGTCACGATTGATCTGAATCACATCTATTCATTCTAAAATTATCCTACTGTAATCAACTGACCAAATTAGTCGATTTTCGCATTTGTTTCACAATGCTGTGATCCACAATACAATGCCAAACTTTATTTTTTAAGAATATGCGCAGAATTTTAATTATATCAGTAACATGCATAATTATAGCATATTGCGGTTACTATATTGAGGATTGATCAAAGAAAAAAATCGGGTTTTTCATACCGGACATGAATCTCCGCGGTAAATGCAGGAGATAGCTTCGGATGGAGTATTTCGACGATATGTTTGTTTTTCTATTTACCTTTTGATTCAGAATATCCATTTCTATCATTTCAATTCGTATTCATTATATTATCTTTAAGTTACATCATTGATAACGAATCCAATGATTTCTGATATTCGAAAATAATAACTTATGGTTTTATTAAATAGATAAATTAATATATGTCAGAAACTTTATTACTGATTTAAATATTAATAAGCACAATAAGATCTTATACTGTACCATATATTCTCATCCAAGCACAAGCCAATTGATAATATTACTTGACATTAAATTTGAAACAATGAACGCGTTTCTAAAAATAACGTGATGGAAATGGTAAATTTAATGTCATTTATTTTAAAATCCAATCTTTATTAATAATTCAATGACAACTCTTGAGATAAGATAAAAATAAATATATACATAGATTTGATATAAAAAAAAATTTTTTTAAATATTTAAAATAATTTTATTAAATATAATTTTTTTAAAAAAATAAGAATTTAAAAATTCTAATTTTATATTAATTACAAAGTTTTAGGAAAATTAATTTCATTAAAAACAATTTACTGATTCAATATAAATTTATTTGCTCTTATAATTTCAAAATTTGATTTAATAATAAGTACATTTTTTAAAAAATATAATAATGAATTTATAATAAAAAAATATATTCTTCGTTATTGTTTATCTTTTAATTTTTATCTAAAATTTAATTTAATTATTAATAAAATGACAATATGAGTTTTTAGAATATAGAAAGCTTTTTTTTTGTGAAAAAATTTATTTTAAATCATATTAAATTAATTCATATATTGCAATAAATTTATAATTAATGCAAAATATTTTGATGTATTTAAAAAAATTTTTTTTTGTAACATTATATTTTTGGACTAGGCTGTTTGTACATAAGTCACTAACATTGGAATTTACATACATACAGTATATCAGATATAAATCTTTATTATTGAAATTGAAATTCAAAATGATTTTAAAAAAGAAATTACTAACTAGAAACAATGCTTTGTTGTGAAAATTTGACTATTAAACATTAGTTTTTAACTATCCATTCATTTCTACACTTAGAGTCCTCACTTATTGCAATACAAGGTATGAACTATGTTGAGTTGACGGATATAAGAGAATCGTAGCAGAAATGGAGCAATCTTGAAATCTCAGATTATTACTGTAGCAACAGAAATACAAAGAAGATAGTATAAAAGCTTGAAAAAAATGTTAGTATTATTGATATATACATTTCTTTATTAACAGTTAAAATTTATGTGATATAATAAAATTATTTGAATATTAACGCATCCATGTGAACGATAATAACGTACATTTCAAAAAATAACTAAAATAATTTTGAAGAGTTCGTATCGTTGAAATGCAACACACATCTATGATTATATTTTTCATACTTTTTGCAATGTTTAAACGTTTAAACGTGTTACTGGTATTAGAAAACCAATTATTTTTTATGTTTCAATAAAGAAAATTAACTATGTACAGTACATTAAAATTTTATTTTTTCTAACTTTACTGGGTTAGCTGATTCCGCAACATTTCCGATTTCTATTAACGTTCTGATTCGTATTTTAGTGCCGTATACATTTATGTTGTGAAGCCAAACATGGTTATGCATAATCTATTTGTTAATACCTAATAGTATTATGAATAAATCAGGGTAGATTAAAACACGTAATACTGTACTGTACATCATATTTGCGCGATCTTAAAATGAGTTCTCTGATTACTGTCAAATTCACTTTATTTAACAATATAGTAATTCTTGTGAGAAGATTGATAATCAAATTCATGCAGAATCTGTGGGAAAATTATGTAAGGGAGGGACGTTTGGCTTTATTATTTCAGTTAAACAAAAGTCTCTTCCGAATAAATTGACTTCATTTAGTACTTGGTACAAAGATTAGTCAAAGGTAACCGTTACACCGCATACACTACAACAAAGTATTCGCTGTTTATAAATAAGCGCGGACCAAAAGCTCTGTTTTTTATAAAAAAAATTTTTTAAAAAAAATATATAACTGTAACGATAAATTTTTACTGTTTTCTAAATACATTGGTAAATATAGGTTGAGAAAAAAAACAACAATGGGAGGCGCTAACGAGATTCTATTTAAGTTACTAGACCCCGTGCCTCAATACGTATTGGGCTGCCTACCAGCTTTGGCCATAATAGGAGAATCACCGGCAAATGAGTTTACAGAAAAGATCACATGGTTACTTCGATGTCTTGGATGTCCATTTACGGGGATATTTTACTCATTTAACATCGGTGGTAAAGGAGAAAGTCGGTGCATGTACTGGCTTTCATCAGACAAATTTGAAATTGTTGACAGTTACAACCCTAATGAACCTGGTGAATCGGAAAAGCACGACGGATCTGGCAAACCTAATAAAATTGTTGGATCGAATAATTATGGCAAAATTGAGGAATCGGATGGATCTAGTGGATCTAACAAATCTGGCAAAATTGATTCGAATAAATGTCACGAAATTGAGGAATCGGATAAACCTGAACATGATAAACAGGAGGCATCTGAAAAATCCACTGTACTAAATGAACCTGACGAATCTAACAAACCGAATGAATTAATAAGACCTTTTGGATTTCATGCTAAAAAAATCAGAATTTCTAATGACGAAAATATAAAGAAACTTATAGAACAATGCACAGCAACGGCATCTGTACTGGAAAGAGCGCCCGCGTTGATATCGGCATACTTTATTATAGTTGGTGTTGTGACGGGCAAACGGCGAGTCTGTCGCTAATGCTAACAGGGGTTCGCGTAACCGTCACTTGTGTTTCTTTAAATA